TGTATCAACGATATACTCATATCACTAATAGAGTTTATAATTGATATAGTTTATCACTAATAGATGTCTATCACTTGCTTAACAGACTCATACCACTGCTAGAATCTATGCTATATCATTGATTGAGTCTATGACTTGTATAGTTTATCAACGATATAGTTTATCACTATAGACGTCTATCAATAATATAATCTATCAATGATAGAGTCGAATAGACATTAATGCGTGTTATACGAGGGTAAAAATAGAATTATGTAAAAATGTCTAAATAGGCGCGCGAAATTTGTAAAATCTCGATATAAAGGCCAAATTTGTTTTTATTTGCTGGCTTTGGATGAATCACATTAAATGACCTTCCTCATTTCTCAAGGCACCTTTTTGTTTATCAAGGCATTGGTTCTAGGTGCATGCTCTCTGGCACATTAATTGGGCTGGCTGTATTGTTTGGTTTTGAGATTTAGGTGGCTTATTAATGAAGTTTTGTTTGGCATTTCGAAAGTCTCAAAGCAGAATCACGTCTCTTTGGCTGATGCTTTGTTTTCTTCGATGGCTTGAGAAGTTGAAGAGTCAGATTACTTGATTTATTTAGTCAGAAACTCCCTTGGTTGGTTATCTTTATTTGAAAATTTTCGTGAAAGGTTACCTGGGTAGTATGGATCTTCCCTCGCGATGAATGGGCTTTAATGTTAGAAGATTTTTCTAGAAGAAGGTTGGAGATAGAAGCTGTTCAAGATCGAGAATTAGCTGAGATTCATGTCAAGTTCTCTCAGAAACTTAAAAGATCTATCTACGGGAGATAACGTTGGCAATTCCAAAGCTAAAGAATTTTTTKATTGAGTTCTCACATCTTGGTGGATAGTTTTGTTTTGTAGTTAGCTCGATATTATCATTGGATTTTATTATTCTTGTTGCTCCCTGTTGAGTCTATTCTATGTTTTTGTCTCTTCTTTTTTTCTCTCACTCCTCCAGGAGTTTGTATTCTTGAACTTTTTCTCCTCTTCATATATCAATGAAAAGTTGTTTCTTGTTAAAAAAAAAAATAATAAAGCATAGTTCTCCTTTTCATATATCAATTAAAAGTTGTTTCTTGTTCAAAAAAAATAAAGCATGGTTTTTTCGTTAAACTAATGAAAAGATTCAAAGTTAGAAGCAATGCGCATTACATTTCAACAATGGGCAAAGACCAGAACCAGACCTGCAAAGCAGCTGCTGTTTCCAATGCAATAGTCTGACTGACAGCAGTGTTGCTCTCAAAGAAGTTCAAAATTTGTTCAATAGCATCTTTGAGATACTGGATAAAGAGGCTAATCAGCACAACGACCTGGAAAAAGAAGTACAGTTGTAAAAGTACCAAGCATGAGCTAACCGTCATGTAACACGGAGAAGCTTTTGCAACCAAGCTCCAGTCCAGTTTAGTATCAAAAGGCTTGTAACATAAAACACCAACTAATGAATCACGAGCAGTTGCACTCTGAAAAACACATACATTTTAGTGTTCCACTGCAATTAAGGTACTGTGGAGCATTTGGAAAAATTAATCATTTGCAAGTGAAATGAAGGATTTAAACCAGACCACAGCAAGGAGACCACTTGGTGAAGATAATTGATATGACCCCAAATTGATGTCAAAAACTTTCGTTTCTGGAAAAAATTTCATGGAACAATTAAGATCTTCACATGACAGTTCAGCAAGAGAATGTTGAGCCTCATCGGTGAGCTTTGAAGCATTATGGTTCATGTGAACCTCCAAGGAAGTAAGAACAGCATCCGCTTTACTAACGTTCATGATGGAAAGCGAATTATCATCTTCCTTATACCCTATAAATTTGTTCAATTGTTCCCAATCTTCTTGACTAAAAAGTTGTTCTTCGTCGTCTTTGAATGATTGATTGTTCCTGAAAGAGTRCATAGAATAACATGACCAGTATTACACAAAGCATCACCAAAATGTTAACTCTTACTAATGAAATGATTGAATGATCGAATGATTGAAAAATGTAGCTGTTCAACATTGAAATTGCGAATTGAGTTTCTGGCAGTAGTGGTTCTAAAGAAAACGAAACAAGAGATACTGTAGAGTTAGGACAGATATTAGATGAGTTATGGAGGGAAAAATTATATACCATCCAAACGACCACCAAGATTTCTTTGCTTTTTCCTTTTTCAAGTTCTGGACAGATTCCACTGACTTTTGTACAAATTTGTGAGCGAGCATCCTACAAAATAAAAAGATAACAAAAAACCTTATCATTAAAATCTGAATAAATCACAAGAAAATACAGCCAAAAATAAGACTACCTTTAATATATTGTATCATGCTAATATCCATATAATTTCTTTTTATGGAAAGTCAACTTTGATTAAGAAGATGAAAGATTAACTACAAGCAGAGACCCACAAAAAGATGGTCACAACCATAGCAAGGGGAACACCCTACAAAACAATTACAAAAACGATCCCCAAGTTTTCGTAACCAAAAAAAAAAAAGTTACCGAAGGTTGTAACATCATAGAAGGCATTTTCTTCTGAATAGTATCTGTAGTATTGACTTTGTCCATAAGAAGGACCCAAACCAGAAAATTGACCCTCTAAGGTCGCATATCAATACTAAGGTCGCGTTTACTCCAAGGAATGGGAATCAAAGAATGACATTCCTTTTGATGGTGTTTACTAAAATGTAAGAATGAAATCAATTGGTAGGGCCCATCCCAAACTTGGGAATCACTCCATGGTAATCTCATTTCTCACCTACAGCCTCATCAATCTCATTCCTTATTTACGTGGGCCCCACATTTTTTCAATAATTACTTTACAACTTTTACCTTTTCTCTCTCGTCCCATAACCTTTTAAATAACTATTTTATTCTTTTCTTTTTAACTACTAATAATATATCTTCCAATAAAACTCTATATAATTATATTATAAAATATTTCAAACTTCTATTTAATTTTACTTTGTTATTATTAGTTAATATCAATAAAATTGTTAAAATAGGATTCATTATTATTAAATATTAGAACAATAAAATTTAATAATATTTTATATTAAGGATGGTTGTTCTGTTAAAGTTATATCAATCCTTTTTAGTTAAGTTTTTTTATTATTTACTATTTGTTAACGGCACAATGAAGAAGCTCCGCAAAAGCTCTCTAGCCCCTAGACACCGCAACTGATTCCAATGCAACTTAATCTGAAAGGATAAACTCTCTTTTTTCTGCCCGAATAAAAGACCCATGAACAAATCGAAGAAATAACCTATTTTCAACACTACAACTACTAGCATCCTGATGTATCTACACTACTTTTAAGTTATAAAGTAGTTCTGTTAGTTGTCTGGGTAGTTATTTTTTTAAAGCCTTCTATTTAGGTTTTAAAGGGCAGGTCTTTTACTGTGCAGTAACTAGCCTTACGGCTTTTTAAGTTCTCTAAAGCCTATAAATAGGCTTCTGTATTCTTTTGTAAGGGCATTGAATCATTATTGACATTTTCTCAAATTGGACTGCACCAATTTTGGTATCAGAGCACCACAAATTTTCTCTCCTTCTACACCTTATCAAAGCAATACAAAATACGCAATACCCTTCTAACTAACCTCCTCCCTTGATATATCCTTCCCCTACTACTGGCCCCTACTACTGGCCCCTACATTATTTTCTCTCTCTTGGCTGTTAAAGACCCTCTATCAATCAATTTCCCAATCTGCCCCTCCTACTATAAGTTTTAACTATGGGAGGCTTAACAGAATTCAATCAGAATCCTTTATTTCAGCAGCGACACTAAATTCTGATTAATTCCTCAAGTGAAGAAGAGGATATGCAGGAATTAGAAGATGATAGGCGTTTCTTTCACCATAACCAGCAGCGATATCAAGAACCAAGCGAATGTGAAATGAAGATAGATCTCCTAGCTCCAACAGGAAGATGGAAATTGAAGACTTCCTCGAATGGGTTAAAAACGTGGAGAACTTCTTTGGATACATGAAGACCCTGGAGCACAAGAAAGTTAGATTTGTAGCTTTAAAATTGAAGGGGGGCGCATCAGCGTGGTGGGAGCAATTGGAGATCAATAGGYGTCGTTATGGGAAAAAGCCAATCCGCAGCTGGGAAAGGATGAAAAATCTGATGCGCGAGCAATTTTTGCCTGTGAACTTCAAACAGATCTTGTACAATCAGTATCAAAACTGCAAGCAAGGTACGAGATCTATAATGGACTATACTGAAGAGTTTCATGGACTTGGTGCCCGGACAAATCTTGGTGAGAATGAGCAATACTTGGTAGCAAGATACATTGCGGGGGTTGAGATCCGATATTAAAGAGCAAAAAGCCCTACAGCCGATTGGATACCTAAATGAAGCCATCTCTACGGCCACTACGATTGAGGAACAACTAAACAACAGGTACAAGAAACAATATTCAAGAAGAACTGATCGGGATCAAGGCGGAACCTCAAAAAAGAATTTTTCTGGAGCAGATCCTAATTCTTTCAGCAATAATCCAGCAAGTATGGGTAAAGGAGAACAAGTCGTGGCAGACACAACTAAAGAACCAAAGCCTACAGAAAATACTACAGGAAAAAAGGCAACAAATACCTATAGTCAACCATCAGTGCGTTAGATGTGGCCAAGTAGGACACCTTTCTAACGAATGCCCTCAACGAAAATCAGTCACCTTTGTAGAAGACATGGATCAACAAGACAATAATAGTGATGAAGATCAAGAAGACGATATTGATTATCTTGAATCTGATAAAGTAGTTCCGTTAGTTGTCTGGGTAGTTAGTTTTTTAAAGCCTTCTATTTAGTTTTTGAAGGGCTGGTCTTTTACTGTGCAGTAACTAGCCTTACGGCTTTTATAAATATGCTTTTGTATTCTTTTGGATGGGCAATGAATCATTATTGAAATTTTCTCAAATTGGGTTGCAACACATCCATACTGCTAAGAACTTAAACTTCACCTTCAACTCCAACAAAAACTGCTAAAGAGTAAAGAGAATCCCATTGTATGGTAAACTCAGACGAAAACAGCCTTTTGAGATATGTCATTGCTGCTGCCATTTCTAGGGTGGAGTCCTATAGTTGCTTGAATAAACCGGCCAAATATCCTGCCAGAGACCGCCCATGGGTACACATCAACAAAAATAGGCATGCTTTCCTTCACTATGAGAAGTTTAAAGCTGACTATCCGGCCTTAGAAGAAGGTTATTTGACTGAGAATTGGATACTTGGCAGAGTTCACAGGAAAGGTGGAAGTTTTTCAACTTAGTGATGATAAAGACAAAATAAGGTGGAAGCCAGACCCATGGGTCTTTTTCTGCTAAATCTACTTTCAACGTCCCCGCCAGACTTCAAGCCAAGTTGAAGATTCCCCTAGTGGGTTACATATGGAAGTTCAAAATCCCAAAAAATTAAAGTTCTTTATTTGATCTCTGTATGACAGGAGCCTCAACRCCACAGAAGGACTACAAAAGAAATTCAAATCTTGGGCCCTTTCCCCTCCAGTTTGCTGCCTCCGTTATAAAGATTGTGAAACCTTAGACCACATCTTCTTGCCTTGTAATTTTGCCTGAAAAGTGTGGGGTTTTATTTTGAATGAATTTGACTTGGCTATTTGTCTCCCAGAGTGGGTTGGCAGTTGGCAGTTGGCTGGTGGAATGTCTTAGTGGGGTCCTTCAAAAAGGGAAGGCAAAAGTTTTGTGGAGATATACGGTCAGAGCCGCCCTTTGGCTTCTTTGAAAGGAGCGTAACAAGCGACTGTTGAGTATATGTCTAGTCRACTTGATTCTTTTTGTAATATTGTACAGCATACAACTTATTGATTCTTTTTTAATCTTGTACAGCATACAATCATATTGGTGATGTTCTAACCACAAGAAATTGTTTTGTAATTACAACCTCCTCATGATTATAAATGGTTGGAAGGCCTTGCTTGTGTGGGGATCCCTCTACCCAGCCCCTAGGTTGTCTCTTTTTTGTTTCTAATATATTTTTCATGTTTCTCATCAAAAAAAAAAATTACAGAACCAAAGTCCAATAATAATCCTGCCTAAAAAAATTGTATTGTGACTTCATTCACAAAAACCCAAGGAGCCAAAACCAAAGCGCATGGGTGACGCAATCGCAATCATCATCAACAACAGGTGGGTTTCCAATGCCTTTAGAGCAATTTTGGTGCCCGCAAAAAGGATACAGAGGGAAGTTTTTGAAGAAAAATCAATTATACAATTTTTTCATATTCATAAGCCTAGTGCCAATTCCAAATGGGATCATTTTATATATAACAAACCCCAAACTAATCCTTTTATATATATAGAACAAACCCCAAACTAGCAATAATTATAAAAGAAAATGAAACATAACGCGGACAAACTGATTACATTACAATACAAAMATAARTAAAAGAAAAAAAGAAAAGAACCACTGATTATATAGAACATAGTATAAGCAGGAAATGAGAAAAAATATATATTGGGGAGGGAAAATATCTATAATACAGAACATTTTTACTTCTTAAAACCAACGGATGCATACATAATAAACTTATTCAGAGCCAAATTAGTATTCAAAGAAATATAATTTTAGCTGATAAATTTCTTGATTAGCCCAAACATTCAAACCATGCAAAACAGGAATTTGATCTCGACCAAAAAGAAAAATGAAAAGTTCAAGAGAGATTAAAAATAATGATAGTGAGACATTAAGGCTCTTTCTCTAGCATTTAAATATAAATGCATCAACTTATACCTCCATTGAAGAATGAGCTCAATATCCAGCTCACGGTCAAGTTCCCCAATATATTTGTCATCATCAACTATCGCACGGGTAGGATCAGATTTAAGCAACGAAGCGTACAACGAGATGTATCTCTTGCGTAAATTTGCAAACTTCAGAACCTGCTCCCATGACATTTTTCCACTGCAATGAAGGGAATAATATAATTGTAGAAAAGTAAAAAAATTAAAAAGTTCACTCTCAAAGACAACAGTTGAGTATCAAAAAAAAGGGGAGAGAGCGAGAGGAAAGAAGAAGAAGACCAGATGATAAGGTATGTTGAAAATGGGAGAACTTTCATATAAAAACCAAAACATTAGATCAAAAAATACATACAGAAAGGGTAAGCTAAGAATTCATTGCCAACCAGAGGATTACAAATCTTCTAATGGGCATCTATGAAGGATGAATCATACTTTTTTTACAAGATACAAACTTCACAATGAAATAATAAAAAAAAGAATACAAAATTCAAAAGATACGAACTCCCAATGGGAGTGAAAGAGAACAATCCGAGAAAATAAAAAGAGAACAAGCTAAAGGTGTGAAAAAAGGTGAAAAACAGAAGCAACAAAATAAAAGCAAAACTGCTTCAGCAGGAGACAAGAAGCTTGACAAAGATGCTCGTCCAAAACCCTAAGCTTGACAAAAACTTCATCCTAAGGAACCATCTTCAGAAAGATAAACTTTTGGCTCATCTTCAAGACCCTTGTATTTTGCAACTCCAACTTTCTTTTGATCTGATCTTCTTCACAAGAGACCATTTCTTTTTTCAATCTAACCAATTCCTCCTTTAGATAATCCAACCAACTATCCAAGTTGGAAGGATCTTCAATAGAAGAATTGGAGGGAGAGGAGGGAGAGGTTATTGAATAAGATCTTCTCAAACCAAAAGCAACTTCAAATAGCTAAAAGTAACACAAAAGGGAGGCCTTTATAAATCCAAAGAGGGAGAGAGAGTTTGCTATGCTGAGAAAACCTTTCAAATTCTCTTTAGAAGTGCTGAAAACCAAGAACCAATTAGAGACAAAAAATAAAGATGTGCTGCTAAAGTAAAACCCATCAAATTCTCCTTGATGCGGGTAGCCAAAAATTAAAAGCTACGGTCTCACATAAAGGAAGACAGCCCAGAAGAGATAAAAACCGCTTCATTAAAGTGGGGCAGATATCAGAACTTCAACTAATGGTTCTTCCAAAACACACCAATAATACAAATTACAAGAATCTTAAAAGAAACATCCCAAAGCATTGGAAATTGGAACTTAGAAACTTGCTGCTCCAAAGTGAGAAAATCAAGGCAGTGCATTAAAGATCTAAGAAAATAACTCTTCAGCATCCAAAAGCCCAATAAAACCAAATAAAAGAAGACCATAAAAGATACCAAAAGCCACCAAGACATTTCAACTTCAAAGTAGAATCTTCATTGTTCCCTATTCATTGGTTCAAGAATGATGCTGACATCTTCAAAAAAAAWTTTTTTTTTAAAAAAAAGGACTTGCTGCTGCAACTTTCTTATGCTCATTGAAGAGATTATGCCATTTTTCACTAGAAGCATATTTTCTGAAAAATCCTGAATAGTGTTGTTTGAAAGGTCCAAACCGTTRGGGGAATCCCAACTCCTGACATTAACGTGTGAATCTTCCTCATCATCATCAGAGGAGCATATTACCTTGAGGCATTGTTCCAGAGCATTGTTTCTAGAGTTAATAAGTGGAAACGCCGGATACCAAATGTCTCTTCTAGCTTGAAAAAACCATTCGACTGAGAATGAATGAAGAAGGACTTGTTTTTAACTTGACAGCTCCATGAATCCATGATTCAAAACTTCGAAAACTAAAACCAGTAATGACTGACTAAAAACGGACCAAGAACAATCTAAATCAAGTAGAAGTAGGAATGATCAACAAGGAGAGAGAAGAGGAGGAGAGGAAAGAGAACAGAGCATGCATTTTCCATTCCTTTCTTAGAAAACAGTTCAGAATTAGAAATATCGACCTATAAAGAAAGGTAACTGATGAAAKAAGTAGAATAGTTTAAGGTTATTACTTCTCTATGATATTTATAGTGCTGATTTTCAGCCGACTACAGTAAGATTTTATTATAAGCACGATKTTAGTCATTCTTGGTTAAGGATATCTTTTGCCTATAATTTGATAYGTATGGGTAAACCTTAGGAAGTTCACAATTGGATTCTGGTTTTCCACCCAGAAAACCCAAACGAAACACCAAGTAATTTTTTACAATGTTCCCACACCCTATTCACCTCCTCCTCTCCTTCTCTCAAACTATCTCCTTCCCTTAGTTTTCTTCCCGCRAACCACCATGCGTTGCACGATTCGATGACTCCAACGCAGACAGCAGCSCAACACCAAATCCGGCACCAGCCTCCAYGAACAACGGATCCGGCAGCTCCCTCTCTTCAGTGACCCACAAGCCCRCAATGGCATAACCACTACATGTTTCTCCTTGAGAAAACTCGATGTCCGGCAATGTCTCGAACGGTGGTGAGCAAATTTGGTGCTGGCCCGAACCAAAGTCACTGATCTYGCGACGATTCCTCACGCTCCACCCACGCGGTCCATCACTCCAGCGAATAAACCTACGAGGACACTGAAAATGATCATATCTGTCACACTAGGAGCCCGTTTCACTCTGTTGTTGGAGAAAAACCTTAGAAGCTCCCCTTCACCATGCCAATATTTAAGCCACATACTCCATAAAAAAAATTGCCAAATCATCTCTGCGAGGTCCCAGAGCTCGTACATTCCTACTTTGCTTTGGTTAGCCCTCTAAGCTCTCTCCAGTAATGGCGAACAACAACAAAGAAGAGTCAAAGGCAGCGCCCCAGTTCGAGCCAGTCCATCCTTCAAGGACGAATCCTCCAACAAATTATTGGCTCTCCGATATGAATTTAAATCGGCATCGATTGATAAATTGAAGCCGGGATCGATGAAAAAGACCAAGGATAGTAGGGTTACTGTTGAATTTCAGAACAATCAATCGAGAGACCCAATGTGGCATTTGTTGGTAGTAGTGACGACTATAAGGAAAATGTAGTTTTGTTTTTAGACGACGAGACATTCTGATTGGAGTGGCTACATCGTGCGGTCCCGCATCTTTAGCACGTTCGACAGCTAGACGAATCCGCTACCACATCCATCATCACTTTTGTCCCCCATTCTTTGACTGTGTCGGAGCCTCGGTTATCTCCTCYGATGGCTAAAGTTGCCAAACCAATGCATATTTAGAGAAAGTTGTTAAAAATAGAGTAAGGAGGAAAGGATGAAGGTAGGCAATTATTTAGTGTGGTATGCTTGTGTGATCCCAAGAGGGGAGGATCTAAGTACCTCGAATGACTTAGAGTTTATTGTAATTATTGTATTCTTTTATCCTTCAATCTATTTTAGCTATTTGGTTCATATCAAGTGRTACAGAGTAATTTGTCTCTGTCCATAGAGTTAGATGATGAAAAGATGGGTGTACTTGAAGAGTTGCAACGGATTTGGAGGCAAATGGATGTAAGTTTCCAATCTCTACTGGATATAGTAGACCAGAGTTCCCAACCATGCAGAAATCGTTAGAGATTTTCGGACAAACAGAAGAAGAGAATGGTCAAGTGGGAATAAAAGTAGAGGGTACACTAGTGAAGGTTAAACAGAAAGACCACAGAGAGATCAGAGGAAAAAACTTGGTACGAGAACAAAAGGCATAAAGTATGATACAATGTGCAATTAAAAGAAGAAAAAAGTAAGATAAGGTCGATAAAGAAAGTCTTTTATCCTTGCAAAATAATGCACGCAAAAAGAAGAGAGAACGGACGAAGAAAGTTTGGTTACAAGAAGACCGGCTTATAATCCGCTGAAATCCGAAAACTGAAAGCATGAATGCTAGGAAGATATCTGACACTGGGTTTCCAAAGCATGAACCGTAATCACATGACTCACATGACCGGTCAGAAAGTAGAAGATTCTGAAGAGAAGTTGGCCCAGGGTTGGAAAAAAGTGAAGCAATCAAGCTGATAAGGCTGAGATTAAATATATCTGTTGAGGCCCGTTTCCTTTCTAGAGAAGATTTTGAAATGGTGGGTCGATTTTAGGCTGAGTTGTCCTATGTGGATAACCTAGATACCAACCCCACCTGGCTAGGCATCACTGCCCACGTGCAGGAAATTGCCCTAGCTGTTGCTTCCCCAATTTTTACCTAGACTACCTAGCCATTTATGCTACTACAGCCATTCGCCAACTATCAGCCACAGCCCATCATATGTGCTACATCACTAAATGCTAGCCGCCGCCATCATATGTGCTATTGTCGTTGACCATCAGCCATCACTTGTGCCGATTGGTAGCCACACCTTCTATACTATGTCGATTTGTCGTCACCAACAACCAACCATCGTCATCGCCGATCGTTCTCACCACCCCCGTTGCAACCACCTTCCTCAACTCGCACCACCAACGCTTCAACTGTCAGTTGTCATTTGCCAACGTTCCCACATGCCACCATCCACCAACACCCCAAGAGTGCTTCATCACAGCAGTCAATCCAACTAGGGTTTCCTTATATATTTTGTTGAAGGCTAAGTTTCAAATTTTGTGGTTGTTCAAAAAAAATWATATATTTTTTGTTTGACCACATACAAAGTGTGTTTTTAGGGTGGGTAATGATAGAATGACCTTTGGAGGTATTTAGGGTTATTAATAGAATAATAAAGGCAGTTAGTAATTAGATAGGAAAATTGTTAAGGTTGGGTTGTTATAAATAGAGTGGGGGAGAAACGATGAAAGTAGGCAATTGTTATTGTAATCCTTATATCCTTTTACCTTTCAATCTATTTTAGCTATTSGGTTACTATCACGTGCTTATCATTACCCACCCTGAGAGTGAAACAAAAAAGCCCTAAATTGTGTACCCAAAATGATCCTCTTTTTTTTTTTTTTTTTTTGCCTGCATTTCCTTCATCTCTTTTTCCTTAAAAAAACGAATTAACCGAACCTGACACCCTCTATAAACTTGTAACTTAGCCTTGCAACATTCTGTAAAAAAAACCTATAACCTATAACTTAGCCTAGCAACATTCTGTAATAAAAAACCTACAGGTCGACGCTCCAAAGGTGATTATCGACAAACAGTGGCCCACAGTGATGGATGGCAATGGCAAAGTTAGACCTATACAGGAGCGAGGGTGCGTGCGGCAGCAGAAGTGAAAATTACAGGAAGAAGGCAACAACAGCTAAGCTTCGGTCGATTTTTGGGTTCAAATACTTAATACAAGCCTAAGATCCACCCACCCACTATTTCAATCTCTGACTTAGAAAGGGAATGAGCCTAATAATTTAATGTCAATCTAGCCCAATGTCTACACTTTCTCTGAACCGATGGCCCCACTTCCCTCCTAGAGTGTCAAAAGGATTMTTTCTCCCTCTTCGATTACTTTCTTTTGTTTGTAACCGGTCCGCACAATTCCCATTAATTGAAATGTCATTTATATTTAAACGTTGTAAGCATCAGCTATCATAATTCATAAAGCATAAGTGTATTTTTTAAACGTTTGGAAAATAAATACGAAAAAAGAGAATGCATTTATTATTATGTTTTATTTCTACTTTTATCATATAAGAAAATTTAATTCAATGACATTAGTTAAGCAACAATTGGAAAAAACAGAACAACTAGCCCAATTACCTTGCCTTCTTTAACTGGTCAGAATTTGCGTTAAAAGCATACTTCCACCACAGTCTAGGATCAGTTTTCACAGACACGAGAGGCCGATAGTGAGCATACTTCAATCKCTGATTGAATGCAGAAAAATTATCAACTAATTTTAGAATGTCCCTGTACCCATTCTGCAAAATGAGAAACAGAAAACTCATTAAGAAAGACTTTTTGATGTTTAAAATTTTCCTTTGAACTTCTTTCTAGGCTTCCACGGTAAAATATTTTCACAGTGCTCCTCTTTTATTTTACAAAATTAATTTTGAGTTACAATTGCTAACTTCAGAAATTGCTTAAAATGATATCATAGATTCTTAAACAAAAAAAAAAAAATTGTTTTTGATCCAAGAAAACAATTTCTGGAGTTACAGACATGCATATATAGATATAACCTTCGACAAACAGAGCGTCACATCATCCAAATATACTGATGCTTTCTGTAGAGGTTCATGCCTATCAGCAAGAACATTTTCCCGCAACTTCGTATACCTCGCATATCCAGACACTGGTTGTAAAATGTAGCTGTGATTTTTGGCAAGACGTTCAGCTGGTTTTCCTTTCTTGGTACCAAAATGAAATACCTAGAAGGAACAATATATCAGAAATATAATCCTACTTTTGCAATAAAAAGATACCTACAAGTTATTGTGGGGAGAAGGGAGAAGATTACTTTGTCCCACTCTGATGGAAGCAAATCCTCCCATGGTTTATCCACATTCCAAGGGGATATATCACAGTCGAGATAAAGTGCTAACTGATTGAGCTCAACGAACTGTTAACAAGACAGGAGCAACAAGTCAAAATTAGTAAAGACGATGCAAATAAATGAAAATTGATTAATAGAAAAGAAAAACAATCCATAAAACACCATTAAAAGCTTTTTCAACCTTGAAACTTTCTCATTCTTAGGAATAATACAATATATTCTTCAGCTTCAACATCCTTCAAATTGGGATGAATCTACTCCTCCATGAAAAATTGAAACTAGAAGGAATTTGAAGGATGTTGAAGCTGAAGGATATATTTCACTCTTGTCTGTACTGTGCAATGTCCTTTAAGGTTGAAGAAGATCAAAGGTACTGTAGTATTGATCATTCTGGTGTTTTCTCAGTGAATTCTTTATCCAAGCCTCGCAATTCATCTTCTTATTCGCAACAGGAAATTTATTCGGCTCTTTGATTTTCAAAGAGCCAAAAGAAAGTTAGTGTGTTGGCTTGAATCCTCCTCAATGTCAAAGTAAACACGGATGAAATACTCCAAAATAAGCTTCCCAATTTGTCTCTTCCGCCTCCCATATGTGTGTTTTATGTGCTACTAGTTGTGAAAGCCAAAGTTCATCATTTCTTCCGATGTTCTTGGGGTCTCTTATTTCAAGAATTAAACCTTCATTGAATTTTTGCATCAGATGTTAAATTTAATTTATCTCAAATACTATTTGGTCCATTGCTATCTTCAAATACCGGTTTACTCTGGGTTAATGATGCTTTTTTTAACAAGATCCACACAAAATCCTTCCAGTGTAAGAGCAATAAAAACAAAACCAAAACAGAAACAAATACAAGCAAGAAGAACTATATTTCCTCAGTTACTTAGGACTCGTTTGGTAACGTTCCTGTTTCCTGTTTCTCGTTTCCAATTTTCTTTAAGAAATCTAAGCATCTTACAACTAACTATATTTCTTGTTTCTTATTTTTTGGGAACATTTCCAAAATTGTATAGAAATTTTGAAAACAACYAAAACAAGTTCATTTTTCCTTGTTCCCATTTCCCATTTGCTCCAAAACATAAATAAGAATAGTGTAGTATCACACTTGAGTTCATAGATGGTGGAACCATACAATTTATTTTTCTTTATTAAAAATGGAGAAACAGAAACAAGAAACAGGAACGTTACCAAACGGGGCCTTAGTTTCTCTATTTTTCATTTGCTTTCACTCCTTTAGAAGTTTCATCCTTAAAATTTTTGTTCTTTTTCACTCTATGAATGAAAAGTTTGTATCTTGTACCAGGACAAGTTGATACTTTGGCAGCTCATAATGTTAAACATCTACGGCTACAGAAAGGACACTCCCTAACTGTAACCAACACCAGAGTTGCAACATTACTATTATACAAGAGTAAATAAATATGTGGCTTACTAAATATTTATTTCAGTCATGGATGAGGAGTTTACCTTTTTTTTATGGTGATTGAGGAGTTTGTATGTCATTGGTATCTAGTGTAGTAAATAAAGGATAGGCTAAGGAAAGAATACAGTTTTGTAGTTTTTTTTCTTTTTAATAAGAAAAAAACTTTTTATTGATAATATGAAAAGGAAGAAAAAAGTTCAAGGATACAAGCTCCCAGAGGTAGTGAAAAAAAAATAAGAAAACCAACAAAAACATAGAGACCAAAAACCCATGAAATAGATGAGATCTGAAGCCGAAGAATAGTTGCTGAAAAACTATCATCMATAAAGCTTGTCAATTAAAAATGACTGATTGTTGAGGAGGAAACCAAAACAATCACTTAATACAAACTGATCGCAAAAATGAAGAAGTAAAGAATCTGAAACCTCCTACCACCAAAAGAAGACAAGAAAAGTATAATATCTCAACCCTCAACCCTCAAAACTCCGGCAAAGCGGTTGTCCATAATTAAAGCMCACCTATTCAATGTTGGAACTAGGGTAAGGCATACATCTTCAGAAAAATTTTAAAAAAATTTTATGATCTGTACTAGAAGCTTTTTCGACTACCAAAGGCTGCTCCCGAGAAGGAGAAAGAATAGTATCCAATTTTGCATAAGAGCGTAAACGGTCATTATCCTCCGCAAAAAGTAAATTAAAATCCTCCATTAGGAAACCTCTGATAAATCTTCATTAACAACCTCTTGCTCTTCATTAACAACCTCTTCATTAACAACCTCTTGCTCTTGTTAAATTTCAGATATTGAAGTTAGTGAAGAAGAGGAAGTGGTTAGCATAAGTAGCTTGGATGCTTCCCCAAAACCAGTCACTCCTCTTAAAGCCTTTAGTGAACATTCCTTTAAGGAAGACTTTCAGCTCCTCTTTGGAGAACAAGTTGAAGATGGAAATCCAGAACATTTAGAAAAATCTAACATTCCTTTATTTTTTGAAGAATTGGGAATTTCTCTTGTCCCGATTGATAAGGTCTCTTGATTTCCCATTACTTTTGAAGTTCATATTAGTGTTGCAAGGTTAGTATGGTTCTCAGGCACTTGATGGTTGGTTTGTCTTCGCGTAGCTACTGTTTACTTGGGCAGCATAGCTTTTGGGTCATTTATTGCAAGTTATTCAAAAATTGTGGGCAGTTTCTGATAAGTATTATCAGCAACCTTTCATCTTCTTCCGTAATATTCAGAATTGGTTTTTGATCGGTGTATTTTTGGTGCATTTCCATTTTTTCAAGACAAATAAATTGAAGGTTCGATTGGGATGTGTCTTTTCATTTTCTCACAGATATTTTGTTCGCATGATTCCGGATTTCTAGACGCATTAATGCTGGCTGCTGGGCTGAATTGTTGTTTTCCAGAAGTACATTTAAAATATCGAGTTGATTGCCTGGTTTTGGTATTGGCGAATTATGGCAGATTCTTTAAATGTTGTTTGGTGATCACTTTAATTGCTTTTTTCTTATCRAGACAACCTTTAGACTTTCAAGGCATTTAAGGGTGTTTTCTTCTCAAGGAAACCTTTCGGCTTTCAACGTATTTATTGGTGTTTACTTCACAAGGCAACCTTTCAGTTTTCAAGGTTTTTAATGGTGCATGTTCCATGGCATTTACATTGGCCAGCTTTTATTGTCCGATTTATTGATCGCTTTTGGAAGACGAAGGGTCTTAAGCTTCATTCTCGAAATTTGAAAAGTCACTTAAGCAAAGTAAGCAAAGTTGTTATGATTAATGTTACCTCRTTTTTAAGTTGTGAAGTTGAAAGGTTTCCTATGGAGCTTAGGGCTAGAGAGGAACAACCGAGTCTTTAATTATAAATCTCTTCCTTTTGATTTCTTTTTTGACAGAGTTCCTGTCTTCACTCTGGGTTGGAGTAAAAGTTACTATCCATCCTTCCATAGCTACACCTTGAATGACCTTATCTACAATTGGAAGCGTTTTTGTAAATACCCTTGCGGCCTTTTGTATATTTCATACCGTCAATGAAATTCTCATTTCATATAAAAATAAAAAATAAAAAAWRGTTGTGAAGTGTAAAAGTCTCCTTGTTTTGAGTATTTATAGAAACTCGCCTTGAGGAAGGATCACAACTATTTGAAGTTCTTCTCTTTGAGTGTTTTCCTTGATGGCATGGMTCTCCTTCAGATGACACTCCTTTGAATGATCTTAAAGAATTCATCGTCTCTTCTCTCAAATATATTTCAAGCATTTCTCCTTCTCAGTTGAATGAGTATCTTGCTCTTCTCGATTCCGAACTCATTAGGCTTCGAGAAGAATGGGCCTTGACGTTAGAAAAATTTTCTAGAAGAAGGTTGGAGATTGAAGTCGCTCCGGCTAGAGAGCTAGCTGAAATTCAAGTCAAATTCTCCTTGGTTTTCAAAGATCTATATGCAAAAGATAAAGATGGAGAACCCGAAGTTAAAAGACCTCTAAAATTTCTCGTTTGTGTCATCACATCTTGGTGGATCTTTTTGTTTGAAGTTAGCTTGTTTCTTTTATTGGCTTTTGATATCACTCTCATGTTGATTGTATTGCTCTCTGTCGAGCCTATATTTTTGCTTTCATTTTTTCCTTTTTCTCTCACTCCTATGGGAGTTTGTATTCTTGAACTTTTTCTCATTTTCATATATCAATGAAAAGTTGTTTCTTGTTAAAAAAAAAAAAAAAACTTCTTGCTCTTCCAAAAAAATTGCGTTGAATCCTAACTATTGACACTAACATTGAATTTTTTTCTTCATCATCACTATTGACACTAACATTGAATTTTTTTCTTCATCATCAGACAAAATGTTATCCTGTTAGCCTCTTTTATTTTAAGAAGAAACAATTTTTCATAGATATATGAAAAGGAGAAAATGTTCCAGAATAAACTCCCATAAGAGTGAGAGAAAAAAGAAAAGATGAAAGCAAATATASGCTCGACAATGAGCAATACAATCAAAATAATGAGTGAGATCAAAAGCCAACAATAGGATCAAGCCAATTTCAAACAAAAAGACCCACCAATATGTGATGATAGAAAAGAGAAGTTTTTAGGGGTCTTTAACTTCGGGGTCTCTATCTTTGACTTCTACATATAGTTCTTTGATTTCCCGAGAGAATTTGACTTGAATTTCAGCTAGCTGCCTAGCCCGAGCAGCTTGAATCTCCAACTTCTTCAAGAAAAATCTTCTAACATCAAGGTCTATTCTTCCCAAAGCCTAACAAGCTCAGAATCGAGACAGGCTACATACTCATTCAACTGAGAAGGAGAAAGGCAAGAAATGTATTTGAGAGAAGAGACGRTGAATTCTTTAGGGACCAAAATGTTATCCTTGACATGTATATGTGACTGCTCACTTGTCAAATTAATGATACCATGGCTGAGAGGTGAATCTCCCTTTAGGAACCATCGAGTCCAAAAGTTGGCTACTTTTCTAAATTGTAAAGTGGAATCTCCTCCAATTATGTATCTTAGTTTACCCTTCGRGGGCAACCCAAAGAATTTAGATTTCTGGCTTCTGATTATTGAAAAGGTAGATAAAAAGTTGGATGGGTGGAAAGCGGCTAAATCTTTCTCGAGGAAGTAGAATGACTTTGTGCAACTCTGTTTTGTCTAAT